TTTTTGAAAGCATTCTTACTTTACAGCATTTTTTAACACCTGCCTAAAACTTTTGCACAGTACTGTAAATTTAACAACCTATAAATCTGCTGTGATTTTTAAGAGGCAACTAAGGACCCCATGTTGTATGTGTTAGCATGCTTTTAATTACCTGCTAATAATTATTTCATTTCTTATTAAATAGTCAGAACTTGTGGACCTGGCAGAAAATATCCATCAGAAACTGTCCTATTTCATTGAACTGGAAAATATTAATACAGTAGGTATTTACCCTCCCACCATCTCCAAAGCCCAAGTCTCTCTGCATTTTAAATTCTTTCTAAAAGTGTATAATGAATCCGGTGTTTTTATTTAATAATTATTGTTTTAAGATTGAAATCTAGTAAACTCAGAAATATACACAGAACTCATTAAAACTTTGTTCCAAGTAAACATTCATAAGATTGTGCTGTTATGAAGGTTTTAATTTCATCTTTAAAGACAACAAAGGAGGAGACCTCTGAGATGTATTAAAATGGTATGTTAAGTACAACACAATAGAGCATACAAGGAAGAGTATATGCAGGTAGTCCTTATTTAATGACCACTCGTTCAGCAGCTATTCGAAGTTATGACAGTGCTGAACAAGGGGGAATTAGACAAGTCCTCATAGTTGCAGCTATCATAGTGTCCCTGTGGTTACATGATCGCAATTGGCTTGGCGAATGGCTCACAATTACAATGTTGCAACATGCTGCAGTCCCATGATCACCATTTGTGACCTTCACTGCCAGCTTCCAACAAGCAAAGTCAATGGGAAAGCCGGCAAGAGGTCACAAATGGCGATCACGTGACCACGGGATGCTGCAACAGTGCAGGATTCTAATGATGGCAACTGGGACTGACACAACTGCCGTCATAAGTCGCGGTCACGTGATGTTGTGCTTTAGAACAGCGTCATTTAGCAACAGAGTTGCCAGTCCCAATGTCCATTGTTAAGCAAGGACTACCTGTAAAACATAGGCAGAGGCATAAATGAAACTTATGTCTCTAAACTTCTTATGAACATAAATCATTTTAAATATTATTTTCCTTTTTTAAAATGTTATTGCTTTAATATAAAGAAGTATCAGATACAAAACCCCAAACCATTCACAAAAATGCAAAGGACAAATCATATTATAAAACATAGTAACAGGTCAGCTTTTAAAGATACTTTTTTATAGTGCTAGAGCTTTTTTTTTTTTTAAGGTCTGAATCTGATTATTTTCTTGGAAGTTTATATTTGGTCTGTGCAGATCCTTTTCTATTGGTTCCCTTGCTTTCCATGAGCTGGTTATAACATGTTCTTTGGCCTATTCTTGTGGCTGGAACATTGGGGATGTTGCTGGTTTTAGGAATCATTCCAGTTCTGAAACCCACCCCAGGTCCAGAAGCCTGGTGCGCTATTTTGTTCTGTGTGGCTTCAGATGTTTTATTTCCCAGAGTTTTGTTGTGTCCTGGTCTGGATCATACAATTTATATTTTCTGCATTGATTATCTTTATTAAATCTCCATCTCTCTGCAAAGCTACTTGGCTGCTAGTATTCTGTGCAAGAGTATGACATTGGCTTTTTGGAACACAAAATATAATAGACTGTGCCCTGGAGATGTCTTCACTTGTCCTTCCCCTGTTCTAGTCAGAACATCTTAGTTTGATTCTTGTGGAAGTCTATTATGTTAATCAAAGGTGAAAAGGTATGATCAAAAAGATAATCATTCCAAAGAGAATTTTGAAAGTACAAAAAATTGGTACAAAATAATGAGATAATGTTGTTAAAACTCTTACTATTTTTAAAGAACTGGAAAGCATGTTGTGTAATAATAGTACTAAACAGAGATTTCGTTTGTTGTGCATTTTTATTGACTTCTATATTTTGTTTGTTTCCCCCCCCCCACAAGAAATTGAATTCACCTACGCTGTCTGTTAACAGTGATAGTTTCATCCCAATGTTGACCAAACTTGATGACTGCATAGCATATGTTTCGTCCCATGTGAGTATTATTCATTTCTCCCCCACCCACTTCACACTCCTTTAAGGTACATAACTATGTACGTATTTCATTTATTTCTGTCTGGGGGACAGAGCAATATAATGAATGTGTGCCTTCCACGCCAAAGATTATGCTCTTCTACTGTTTCTCGCTACATAGGGCTAAAGCAAACATGGCAATCCTTTCTTCTCAGCGTCTTGATGCGCTGCTTGACACCCTTTGCTGAGCCTGGTTTATTTCCCACTTGTGTTCTAAAGAGAATCTAAATCTTTTGTAACCAGTATTATGCACAATACATACATAACTCCTTATCAAAGAAATCACATTCCTGTATTCAAAAATAGTAAACTCATAGTTCATTTTTTTAGATTATTTTTTTTAACGTGCCTTTATTATTTTTAGAAATAACTCAAGGCGGCAAACATGCCTAATACTCCTTCCTCCTCCTATTTTCCCCACAAC